ATGGCAAAGTGAACCATTTTTTCATGACATATTGAACCATTTTTTGGTGACAATTTGACCTATTTTTCGGTGGCAATTCGACCCAGTCATTATTGACAAAATGAACCATTTGTTAATGGCAAATTGGACCATTTGTTGGTGAAAATTGAACTAATTGTTGGTGAAAATTTAATGTATTTTTTAGTGGCAATTTAACCAGTTATTGTTGAGTAAATTGACTATATTCTGATGACAAATTGAACCATTTGTTGGTGACAAAGTGAACCATTTGTTGTTGACACCTTATGCTTTTGTTAGTGGCAATTTGAACCCGTTATTGTTGACTAAATTAACCATTTGATCATGGTAAATTGTACCTTTGTTGGCCACAAATTGAACTATTTGTTGGTGACAACTTGAGTTATTTGTTAGTGACAATTTGACCCATTTCTTGATGGCAACTTGAACCATTTGTTGGTGACGAAGTGAACCATTTGTTGCTGACAAAATGAACCATTTGTTTGTGACAACTAACGAGATTCTCCATCGGATTGTCTCCAGCCTCGGCCAACTTGTTCTCTCTTGCACATCTTTGAGTATCTCAATGGCACGTCTACAAGAATATTGTTAGTCTTTCCGCCTTGTTTATCAACCCCCATAGGCCTGTCTATATGCCATGCAATCGGTACAGAGGCTGAGATCCCACATCTTGTGCTTTATACGCCGAAATGGGGGGCCAAGGTGGGGGATATTCGAAAGCCGGTCTGCACATCCCCACTTGTCCGTTGTACTCGAGGCTATCTGTTGTCCACTCCACAGACGCCCGATGGGGAAAAGCATCTTAAATGATGTGCTCATCTTCATTTCAAATGAAACACAAAGCCGTATTCCTCTTGACCGTCTGCCGGCCAGTTTTAGTGCAATATTCTAGTCTCCGAGGCACCTTTTTTCGGTTGCAGTGGGAATCTGAGGCACATTCTCAGCGCAGGGTACCATTCTCACAATACCATTTAAGCTCATGATTTAAAAAAACTCACTAAATATCGTATATTTATATCTATATTTCCTAAATATATGCTTTTTTGACGAGATACAGAGCAGTTTGGTTAGTTCAGATTGCATGTCAATCTAGAAACACACACACATGTGTGTGTGTGTGTGTATGTTTTATGTATGCTAGAGTGTATCGTATGGCTTACGAAAGTACAATGAGCAGAGTTTGTCTCGAAGACTTGGTAAATCGGCAAAATGAATTCGCCGTCGTCTGCTGGTGGGCTCGAAATTGCCATCTCTTCATACCACACACACACACATTCCTACGAGACGGAAGTGAGTCCAACAGATTCATTGAAAACCGCCCACTTGGTCGCAGCAAAAAGTCACTCTTTTCTGTCCGATTCAGCCATCCTCGCAGTTTGATGGCGGCCGGACAGACGTCAAAGTCCACTTTTCGCCTCGATGCCCAGTTGGTACATTTACCGCATAAACACACTCATTGTGCTTGCTTAACCGCGCAGAAAACACTTTTGTTCTTTTAATCGCATTGCAACCATCACTTGCAGCTCGACAGTTGGATCAACTGTATCATAAACCTGCTGCTCAAGTAACTATGCGCATAATCATGCTGTTAACAATCCCTGCATTAACATCTTTATTGACATGCGTCTTTTGCCATTAACCCTTTGCCGCCTCGTGATAGACTGACCTCTCTCTCTCTTTCTCTCTTTCTCTTCTTTTCTCTCTTTCTCTCTTCCGCTCTACAGTCTCCAGCATCTTGTCGTGAAGGCTCATTTTCTCCCGACTCCGTTCAGGCAACTGTGAATGCGTCACAACATGTCCGCCCCGACAACGCCTCGGCTGGACAGCTGACATGTCGTCGGCGTCCCCGATCCGACGGTTGCCATGCCGGCAATGAATTCGACCGACCGGCACAACGACGGTCCGTCGAGCGTAAATGGTACAGTTGCGTCGTCCGACGTCGGTCGGCCAGTCGGTCTCGTCGGCCGAATCGGCGAGCCCAGTCCGTTGGTCCGCGGCGCCAGGCCGAACTCGTCGTTGGCCTGCATGCACCGGCGTCGTGGCCAGTCGACCGAGTCGCCCTCCGAGTCAGCGTCCGAGTCAGCGTCCCCATCGACGTCAGTCGAGCGTGACCATCGTCACTCGTCCGCACGTGTCGAGCTTCGGCAACGTCGCGAAAAGCGTCGCGTCATCGTCTCGGCCACCGGCAGTTTGTTGCGCAGTCTCGGTGTTGATGGGCAAGCGGAAAAGTTGCATCTTCGTCGAAATTGCCATCACGACGGTTGTCGTTTCTGTGGCAGCCATCTTGGCGTCTCCTCGCCCCGACAGTCGGGCCTCGACAGCGCCAGTAGCTCGAGCAGCCGGGACAGTCGGAACAGCGCGAAAGTGCCGGACCACCCGAACGGCCGGAACGGCAAATCGAGTCCCGGCGAGTCGGCGGAGTCGCGGGGCTCGGGCCGACCCGAGGTCTGGAGGCAGGGCGTCGAGGCCGGTCGTCAGAGTCCCTACGACTCGGTGCCGGCAACCGTCAGCTTGGACGACTGGGAGGCACCGGCCGACTGGGAGGCGGCCACCGAGCCGCCCTCGGTCGTCTCGGTGCTGGGCGTCGCTGGCGAGCCCCACGAGGCGGGACCTCGGGCACTCGAGACACACGCTTTTCGGCCGACGGGTGCTGAGTTCGAGTCCCGCGCCCGAGTGGGGCTTGCCTTCAACCGACATGTTGTGGGCTTGCGAGAGTTCGTCTACTCGACCACGGCTGCGCGCAGTTCCGCCTCTCTCTCTGGCCTCCCGGTCAGACGACCCGGTTTGCCACAACTCGGCCAGTCGGTTGTCATGCCGACCGGCGGCGCACTCGAACATGTGGCCGATAGGTATTGCAGTCGAGCGGGACCGGCCGATCGTGTCGTCTATTTGTCGAGTGGACCACCTTTTTTCTACAACAGACAGACTCGAGGTGGTCTGCCGAGCCGAGTTTCATTCATTTCATACTCCAATCACTGGGGCAACAAAGGTAAACGCCCAGCATTTTGGTGCCTTTAGATACCAAAGGTGGCTGGGTCTCGAGGAGCCTTGTGACATTGCGTTGTTGTCGCGAATCGACATTGCCCATAAAAGTGTGTGTGTGTGTGTGAGGCAGATGGATTGTGGATCCATCTCACCGCAAGACGATCCTTTAACGGCCATCGTCTTCCGGTCAAATCGACAAACCCATCCCTTTTGGAGATATATAAAGAGTAACTGGGTTTCGGGTAATCTCATGAAATAACCTTGTTGGAGAGGCTTTCATTTGGCATGAAATTGCATAAGATATTTGAAGGTTGATATCACCAAAAGACGACGATTGTTTGGAATTAATACGACTTTCAGTCCGCCAGACAGTCTCCATCGTTTCAGGCAACATTAGGTTGAGCCTTCCTTCATCACATGATAGGCAACATGAGAACGTTGTCAAGCGATCAAGAAGACTGTCTGGCTCTATTTTACCTCCAATCTCTACTCCTGAGTAAAAAACAAAAAAGTTTAGATACAGATGGTTTGGCTAAACAAAATATAATTGTCCAAACCTTTCTGTTTCTAACTATGCCTAT